TATAAATGCATAAATACATCTACTAAACTAATAAATCATAAAATTAGTACAATATTATCAGTTTTTAACTCTTAATCACTTCAATATTTACAAGGACGCGAACTCCCGTAAGAATGTCGGTCTTTAATAGTATCTTGTCGGTGTTTCAGCCTAAGTCACTTCAACGTTAAGTAATAAATAAAATTGTTATTTCTGACCGTCTTAATTACGGATTAAAATTTTACGTATTTCGTATTTAAATTTTGTTCGCGTGCGCGCGATGTATGTATGTACAATAATTCTGGGTTAGGTACGATAATTTAACGGCCCTGCCACGGCCCTGGTACGATCGGCCACTGCTTCTAGGGCTGCGTTCGGAAGCATCACCCAAGTGTCTCTGTATATTGTTTTATCCTTGTTGTTCACCCAATGTTAAATAAGAATAAGGTACATAGGGGCATCCGAGTGATATTACCGAACGCAGCCTTGGTTACCAACACTGGCTTATAGCGTATTCGATTACTGACTCGACCCGACTCCGAGTCAACAGTCTGTTCTTTTTAGCTGCATTTCTTACACGTAATTTAGCTCTTCTTTTGCAGCTAAACAGAACAGACTATTGACTCGGAGTCGGGTCGAGTCAGTAAATCGAATACGCTATTAGTTTCCACCGAGAGTTTAAACCGGATCAGAATGTAAGAACCAACCAACTACAGTCGCGTATTCCCCTGTTACAGTCGAACGACAGGGGAATGCTCGACTGTAGTTGGTTGGTTCTTAGGCTGGAGTCCCATGAGGTGTATTTACCGCGTATCGCGTAATCGCGTAACCAATCAGAAGCGATCCGCTGTTGTGGTTTCGCGTTTTACTGATTATTGATTGGTTACGCGGTTACGCGATACGCGGCAAATACGCTTCATGGGACTCCACCCTTACATTCTGATCCGGTTTAAATCCTCGGTGGAAACTAAGCCAATGAATACTGAATGGTATGAAATGGTATAAAGACCCGTCTACAATACACGGAGTAAGAAGTAAGAGTAAGAAATTGACCAATCACAGTCGATTATTCTTCTCACATTCGACTGTGAT